ATACATATACATATATATATATATAAATAAATAAGTGAAACACTTTGAGGGACATTTCATTTGTACATTTTACATATAAGACATCATATATGATTACAACTACTCAAGAATTCAGTAAATATAATCATATATTGTTCCTAAGTAACGGTATCTTATACATAAATGGAGTTTGGTTTCACACTTAATGAATATTAACTGCCTTTAAAATTAAGGGCTCTAGTCAATTTCTCTTCGTCTAACTCGAAATGGGAGGAACCACTCTAAGCATCATACTCTGAACGAAAGATATCATCTGTAAAATACAATTGCAACCATAAAAATTAAGAGTCATAAATATAAGTCAATTAAAAAGGTAACTAGGGCATGAATATACTTCAAATATAATAATATATAAAATAAATTATTTAATACAAAAAAAAATTAAAATAATTGCCTATTATATTCCATTAATGATCAGTACCTGAATGAGAGAAACTCATATAGATGAGTTGGAAAAATAATTGTATTACATGAAGTCATGAAATGTACATAAAGCTTTGAACTTTACAATTTAGTTTACCTATTCATATTCATATATATCAAAGTTTGATTTTACCCTTGGTTTGAATATTACAAAATCAAACACCAAAAGATTATAATGTACATTATATGGTTACTTTCATGTTGTGATTTTATAATATGTAAACAAATCGTCGTAGTTCAACTTTATAACATATTAACATACATAGACTAGTTACTTTTTACATATGTAATACTGGACTTCGTCTATAACAGTGGAGTTTCACTAAGACGATAAAAGAACAAAAGAAATATAGAGTTCAAAAGGTAGTTCTTACCGAAGCAAAGCCAATGCACATTATACTAAATCCAGGAAAATCAAAAGGTGCCTTTTCAGAGAGGAAGAGGGCTGACAATTGAAAAGAAGTATTTGTTAATAACTTTTATTAATAATATAAATATAACATGTCATGAAAAAATTCTCTCACCAGTTAATGGAGAGAAAACCAAGGGAGAAACAATATGTGCAACTGAACATATGCCTGAGATGCAACCTTGAGCCTTTCCCTAAAGAAGGAAGATTAATGAGAGGATTGAACAAATTTGAAGTTTTTTTTTCCAAGATGTACGGATAAGAAATCACTAAACATTGTACCTGTTCATGGGGCCCAACTTGTTTAGAAACAATACTCCGTATCTGCAAGATGCATAAGAAATTACTAAACATTATGTTTTGAAGAAAATACTTATTTTAAAAAATGAGAGGGAAAAACAAACATCAATGAGAGAGACAAAATGAGGAAATGAACTCACACAAGGCTGTGAGAAAACAAACAAAATTGAGAACATGGCTGAAGCATAAGGAACCTGCCAACATTCACACACTAGCAATTAAACTATATATAAAAAGAGGAAACTTTGGCAACAAGGGGATAATAGAAGTATATATATATATATAAGTGCTAATAATAATCAACCACTCTTATCTTAAGTTTCAACCTTATACTGTTATTACATGCCGAAAAATAAGTAATAGAAACTAACTTGTAATTATAAATAAAGTTACAAATTAAAGACATACCAACGAGGACCATGCTATGCTGTAAAGGAACATCTGCATCCCAATCCATTTTAAGAATTTAGACTTTTATAAATGAGTGAGTATTTCACAATTTCATCATATAAAAACAATACTTACATGTATACAATGAAAAAATAGTCCAATTGAGAGTAGTCTTGCCTCACCCAAAATAGGAGCCAAAATGGGCATAAGTAGAAGCTATATATGACAGACAAGATTCACTGTTTAGATTCATAATGTATAAACTCTCAAAGAAAATAAAAATTTATGGAAGGACAAAAAGAAAAACGTTGATAATTAAAATATAACCATTTAAAAAATACCTGTGACACGGTCCCTGCAATTCCGGAAATGACCATTAAGTCGGCAAATTGATTCTTATCAAAGTGAAATCGAGCCTTTAAGAAATACTGTATACAAAGAAAAAGTGTTATTGAAGATTATGCTATATATTATGATTAACTTGCCAAAGAGAATGCAATGAAAAATTTCAAGTTGACTTGGTTAACTACTTCATATTGAAAAGGTACAAAAATGTAAGAAATTAAACATAAATAATTTGCTAAATAAAAAGTTTAGAAGTTTGTAGTTGAGTATGACTTTAAATATCTATTAGAAATATAATGATTGAAGATATACAACTACAATGTGCTTTGACGTACTAGATGATTTGGTTTGAATGTACGGAACCAAAACCAATAAGGAATACAGTATATCACATCAATATAACTAGCTCTAACTCTAATAGTGATATAAAAACGCCTGAGCCTTTACCAACACTAAAGGTTAAAAATGAAAATACATCAATATAGAATACATACAATGTCTAAATTGTAAAAATTAAGTAGAACTTGAACAAGATATAAAAAAAAAAAAAAAAAGTATACGAAGCAAGGAAAAAATATACCATCATTGAACCATGAAGGCCAACATCTGCAAGGTTACTGAAGAATGCAACAATTGCTGCTTGAGTAATAGTCAAGCTGCATATTTGAGTTTACATCATACATGTATAATTATGACAAACAAAACAATGATATTTGTTTGTTTAGAAAAAAAAGTTAGGAAAAGAGTCGCACCTACTATTGAGGATGGAGGTTAGGTCTTTCAAAAAATGCAATGCTTTAAAAACATGTTTGTTACTTTCCAGTTTTCCGTTGACCTTAGAAATCGTGGGCTTTCCTTGTGAAATAATTGGGGTATAAAGATGTTTATCATCAATGATTGAATCTTGAAGGAAAAATTTCATGTACACTGCTCCAATCACCGCAATAAGAGTGGAAACCTTAATTAAAGAAAGATGTGTAAGCATTGCAATTAAGAAAAATAAGAGATTGATTTAGTAGGGTGCATTGCAATTAGAGAGAAGAAAAAAAAAGGATAATGTGTTAGCATAAAAGCAAAATACCTGAAAAGTTAGGGCAGTAGATAAGAATCGAGCTGATAAGGTGCCACACACAAATGCAGCGGACCCTATCCCTGAAAGAATTCCAAATGCAGTGCTTCGTCCACTTTCTGGAATGTTATCTGCCTGAAAAAAATATATTCAAAGGGAAATAAACAAATTTTATGTTGTGTTGTGTCTTACCACCATACTTTGCTACTTCTAAGTTCTAATATAGATAGATAATAAATATTTAAAGCATATATAATTGTCATAGTAATATTATTATAATAATATTTTTAAATATAATTATAAAAAAATTAAATTTAATAAAAACTAATACACATGTAACAAATTAATTAAAATTAGAATATTCTTAAACTTCAAATTATCTATAATAGTAAATAATATTATAATAGATATTTAAAATGTAAAATAATACTATAAAAATAATATTATAAATATTTGATTAATATTTACAATGTTTTAACAAAAAACAAAGCAAAAAACATACCACTAATAAAGAATATAAAAATAGAAATAAAATATAAAAATAAAATAATATTAAATTTTTATTATAGTTATAATATAAAAATATTACAAATATTATAATAAACATAATTTTTTTTTAAAAATATTACTCATACAAATTGGATTTTTAAATTGCTCATAAAATATAAATATATTTAAACCAAAATACATCAATTTTACTGTATATATAATGTGTGGAAATTGAATTTTCAATAATTAATATTAAAATAACATTAAAATTTAAATTATTTAGAATAGAAAAATATTTATTACTTAATAAAAAAAATAATAGCACGAAGGTATTTATAATATTAATAAAGATATTTACTAATATTTATAATTTTAAAAATTATATATTATTATAATCTTTAAACAATGTAAAATAAATAATAAATAATATTCTAATTTCTAAAATAAAATAAAATTAATATTAAATTAAATAACATAAATGTAATAGAAACTACTCGTAATTATAAAGTAATAAAAATATTTTATAAAATAAAATATTAAATATTAAGAAAAAAATATTTATAGCCGTACATTAGACTGGTATCAAGTCTAATTTTAAATTAATTACTCAATTGAGAAGTATTACGCTATTTAATATTAGTTTGATTTTATGTGAAATATTGCATAAGACTCACTAAATAAATTTTCAAAAGAAAACTCACTAAATAACCAAAAAATAATTATCTTTTAAACGAGTCTTGTGTAAAATTTATTCAATAATAATAATGATTTAATTATTAATTTTGTTTGTTATTTTTATGTTTTAATGAAGAGTTTCAATAACTTAGGGATAAGAAGAAAAAAAAATTTGGTTGGGGGTGGGGGGTGGGGTAGCGGGTGAAATTAGGGATAACAAAAATGAAAATCGATACTTGCAAATAAAATCGAGGATGGTTCAAATGACACCGGTGTAACTTTAACTAAGTGTTACACCGCTCAATAACTTTATATTAAATGTAAATTTTGTAAATCCAACCGTTAGATTGAAAGTTCATATCTCTTAGATCATATATATCAAATTTTATATTAATCTAAGATGATTTGATACTTCATTCTCATAAAACAAATTTGACGTTTGTTTTATGAGAATGAAGTATCAAATCATCTTAGATTAATATAAAATTTGATATATATGATCTAAGAGATATGAACTTTCAATCTAACGGTTGGATTTACAAAATTTACATTTAATATAAAGTTATTGAGCGGTGTAACACTTAGTTAAAGTTACACCGGTGTCGTTTGAACCCTCCTCAATAAAATCTGCTATATGAATAGTAAATAAATAATTAAGACATTTATTACTTAGGTAACAAGTAATAAACACATATTAATTGTACATTAAAGCTATTTAATTTAATTTATTTTTATCATAAATATAAGTTGTAATTGTTTATTTTTAATATAAAAATACGTTACAAAATTATTTTTAAAATATGTATATGTTTCAAAATTATTTTTTAAAATTCATTTAAATTTTTATTTTTTATTAATGTTTTACATTTTAACAAATATGTACGAATATTATAAATATTCACAGATTTTATAAAAATTTCATGAATATTTCTTAAATAAATACTCACACTAAGCTTTTAACACAATGGGTGATAAAGAGTTACTATTTGTCTTGGCCTATTGTCATCTCTGGGTAAAAATGACCTAAAACTTAACAACAATTCTTCATTTAAATTATGTTTTTAATTCTCATAAATTATGGCAAAAATGACCTAAAACTTAACAACAATTCCTCATTTAAATTATGTTTTTAATTCTCATAAATTTGATAATGTTCTTTTTTATTTTTTAAAAATAAATCATCTTCCTGTACTTTAAAATATATCTTGTGTGGTTTTTATTTGCTCAAATGAAAGAAGACGTCTTTTTACGAAGAATAATACGTACATTTAATATTTTTTAATAAATGAAAAAAATATTCCTTATAAAAAATGTTAAAATAAAATAAAATTATTAGTCTATTTACCGAATAAAAAATTATCTAACCGAAAAGCTACACTTTTTTTAAGTAAAGAGAAACTTACCACGTAAGCTAGAGCGAGGCAAGGAACGCTTCCTTCGCAAACCATTGAAATGAGAATCTTAAACACGTAATACACGTAGAAGAATTTTTTCGTCCTGCTGTAAGCTAATATGCCTGTGAAAAACATCAAGTGGTTCGAATCAAAACTATTTCTTAGGTTGTATTTTAAATATATGAATATTTTGCAAAAAAAAAAAAAATAGTCGAAATCAACTAAATGAAGGGAAGAAATTGAAGAAAAAAAGTACCTATGGGAATGATTGTGAGAGTCATAGGGACTGTGAGAATGGCCTTCCTACCATACTTATCGGAGAGATTACCCAAAAGTGGCATCATCACAAGCGTGCCCACTCCTATCATCTGCATAAATCACTCGTTTATGTCATCGATATTACTAAAATCTTATAACAACTAAAAGGGAGAAAATTGTCACACACAAAAAAAAATGATGTTATTTCTCTAACAAAATCAACAAATTAAAAGAGCTTACGAAATACATTAGAGTCCTTGTAGTAAGCACGATAAAATGTGATTGCGGGCCATAGTTGTGGATACCATTGAAAGTGATATGTTCATAATGTCTTTCTTGTAATTAAAGTATATTTTATTTTTAAATGTAAAGTGAAGAGGTATATTTTATAAGATAAAATACATATATAATTATTGATTATAAAATTAACAATTAAAATCAAATCAAATTTTTATAAAATAAAATTATATATTAGTTATAACATCAACAATTAATTTTTAATTAATAATTATTATTATACCTTTTTTTTTAAGTGCAATTTCTTCACTTTAAACCTACTGAAGGTTAGCTCTCCACAATTGTGACTGGTTTTAGTTTTTTAGATCCTTTTAAAGTGCAATAATGTTTAGAAAATTCGTTGTTGGGCCCAATTCGTTTTCACTTTAGTCCAAATTATCAGTTGATTTAATAAGCGGACCAGTTAAAACGGACCACAGAAAGTGACAAATACACTACAGACATAAAAGTGTTGTTGATCAAAATAAAAAACACATTAGTCCACATACGACGAGGCAATAGAAAATGTAAGGAAAACCACGAAAACTCGAGGAAAAAGCATCACAATATAAGTTAAAGAAAATGGGAGCCTTAAAGAATCGCGAAATCACAAGGAAATTTCTTTGTTGAGTGGGGGACAGGCTTACCTAAACAGACGAAGGGACGTTATCTCAGTGACCAGTTACCTATTTTAGTAAATGAAATTTGAATTTTGAGGTTGTCTGTCTATAAAACAATCAAATTTTATGGGTACATCAATAATCATTTATGGATACATCAATGAAGGTGTCTTTCATATATCAACACGTTCGGTTTGTGTCTAACAAGAAAATTATACTAAACAATCTAAATAACAACTTTTTCAAAATCATATTTGATCCAAATTAATCAGACATTTTATGCAATTTTATTTATTTAAAAAATAATTTAATTTATTGTATTTTTTGTGAGTCACAAAGGCTTGTAAGTAGTCACGAGCTTAAATAATTTTGGGTAAAATTATTGTTAAATCATAGGATTATTACAAAAAAAAAAGTAATATTATTTACATATCAAATATTTACAAGTTACACAAAGGAGATAAGAAAAAAATTGTAATAAGAAAGGTGACCTAAAGAAGAGAGATTAAAAAAATGTAAATGTGTAAAAATTGTTAGAAATAATGGTTGTATAATAACATTATTCTTAAAAAAACAATAATTTAGTGCACAAATATATATTTTAATTTTGTTTATGAAGTACTTTATTATCAAGCTTTTCGTTCACATTTTTTTTATCAATATTGAATTTGATCAAATAAATTATTAATTGATCTCATTAACAACAATTTAATAACCAAATAACCTTTCTTTTTCTCATGTGTCACATAAAATAGATATGAAATAAATATCTCAAACTCGCAGCTATATATGTTTACTTTATCACAATTTAAGAGAACATGAAAGGCAATTAATGTACAAAAAATTACAATATTCATGAAGAAAAAAAAAACAATGTATCACCTCGATCATTTTTAAGTATCTAAAGTATTAAATCTCATTAATAATAAAATAAAGTCACAACAAGGATGAATGCCTGGACGTGCACCGTGCGGAACTAACAACTTCAGAAACATACTGAATCAACAACACCCACATATTTTTTCACCAAAAGATTAAAATTTATACATATGTAGAAAGATGCCTATAAAAATACACACACTTTACAAAATTTGTTGCTAAATATTGAGTCAAATGGTTTTTATTTGGTAACACAACAGTTCATATTACTTGTTCCTTACGTATATATATGTCTTGTGTTGCTTATTAATGAAAACTCGTTATTAAAATAGTTTATTAGAGTCTCCCATAAAAAGTAGTTTAGATCAAAAGCTTAAAGTATCTAAGAACTCACTCAACTAAATTTCCCCTCGCACCAATACTATACACATCCACACGCCTAATCAAAGATTAAGGAACGAAAACATATAGGAAGTAGAATGAGTGAAGAAGATATAAGTTAGAAGTGTTAATGGGAGTTTTTCTACAGAAAATAAAAAATATTTTTGGTAGTAAAAATTTCAAAAACACTTCTAAATTTATATTAAACCAGAATAAACATTTACTTGGATGAAATATTATATACTGACCGCTTGTTGAAAACCAGTGAGGTAGATGGCAAGTGAGCACTCATCTTGTCCGGGACAAAGAGCAGTCATTGTGACATCGGTGATGGCTGGTACCACCATGAACACGGCGAAGTTATGAAGAAACATAGTCATGAAGAGGTGGCTCAGCCCATTCAACTTGTCCATGATGATTCACTGAGGCTAGCTCTCTCGGTTTCCCTTTGATATGACAAAAGAACTAACTATAGTTAGAATTCTAGGTAAGATCTTATAGAGAAAGCTACCTCTCTCTACTTAGGAGCAGTAGTGCAAGGTTCACTTAGAAGCACCCTATATATATGAGTGGGACCTCAAACTAATCACAAGAGCAAGCGTAGAGTACTTGTTGCGATTGCTTTACGTGGTATCTCGCAAAATAATTGTGCATGTGATCAATCAAACACTCGCAGTAAGTGACACGGTGACAGAATGAGGTTAGTAAGTAAAAAAGGACAGAATGTGTGGAACAATATTATTGTGAAGTTTCAACTAACCAAGTAGTGATTAAGGATTTTTAGTCACGTAGCTGAAGCGCTGTTTATTGTTAATTTCATGTATCTTTTGTTAGATTCTAACTATTTTGAATGGGATGCGTGGCGTCAAAGATAACACAATTAACCAGGATTAGAGTACGCCTCGAAGCGTGCAAGTTTTATGTATACCCTTTTTTCAAAGCATCGAACAAGTGGGCCTACATCATCTCCTGATCACGAGTGAAATTCATGGTTGATTTATGGATCAAGTATAACGGCGTCTAACTTGACAAATCGGGTAAGTTATGCGATTAAACGTTCATTGAGTTTTAATTTGAGTTGTTGGCTTTTAATTTTGTTATCATATTATATGTGGCTCACTTTATAGTTTTTTACACTATCGAATCTGTATATTTTTTTAGCTAAATTAATAATAATATGAAGACATTTTTCCTTTTTCTTTTCCTCTCGCCCATCCTAAAAACTGTTTAACGTGATAACAAAAGTGATTTCATTTCATTTAGAAATTTTCATGTCCTTTTTCTATTGATTCTTCTATATATAATATAATTAATAGGGTCATTAATTATCTTATATATAGAATAAATCCAATAACTCAATTATATCAAATAATCCTTTTGTGTCGTTAAAATTAATGTCTTTAAAATTTGATCAGTCATTGACTTAATTAATTGATTAAAATACTAATTCAATGTTTAATTGTAATTGAACTGTAATTAAATTAATATTAATAAAATAATATAAACACTATAAGAAAATATTAATTTTTGATAGTCAAAATCCGTCGAAAACAAGTATTATTTATCGGAAATAGAGAATTTTTGACAGATTTTTTACGGATATAAATCTACAAAAAAAAGGGACGTTGAAAAAAAATATCTGTCAAAAATAATTTATTTTGTCGGTAATTTTTTACAAATATATTTGTATGAACATTTGTCAATAATTTCTAACGGGGAAACATCCATTGGTAATTTTTGATAGAAATATCCTTCAAAAATTTTCGATGAATATTTCTGTTGGAAATTATCAACGGATATTTTCATAAAAAATTTCCGATAGATATGTCCGTCAGAAATTACCAACGGATGTCTATCAAAAATTTTCGACCAATATTTCTATCAGAAATTTCTGATGGATATTTCCGTCAGAAATAACGAAATTTATTTTTGATAGAAAATTTTGTCAAAAATATTATTTGAATGTTTATTTTTTATAAATTTATTAATGTAACCAATTGACATTATTTTCACTTGTTTAACAATATATATAGATTGATGTTAAGTCTCAATTTTACCTCGTACGAAAGACGTTGGTTGATCAGGGAAGTTCGGCCGACATTCTTTATTGGAACACGTTTAAACAGCTGGGTATTCCGGAGTCTGAGCTAGTTCCTTATGATGAACCTTTGGTCGGGTTCTCCGGTGAACGAGTCAAGACAAAAGGGTATATCAAGTTGTCAACTCGGTTCGGGTTCGAAGGAACTGAGTACCGAGACATTTCGGTTAAGTATGTGGTGGTGCACGCAAGCACATCTTATAACATTCTGCTCGGCCGACCATCCCTGAATCATCTCAGCGCAATCATCTCCACCCCTCATTTAGCCATGAAGTTTCCGGCCGAATCAGGGCGAATAGTCACTGTCCGTGCTGACCAAAAAACTGCGCGAGAATGTTATTTTACCAGCTTGCGATTACCAAAAATGAAGAACGAAGCAACGAATGAACCGAGAAGGGTGCACTCGGTATCACAGCAATCGGCCATGGACCTCGATCCTCGGATCGATCAAGATGAGATGGTAGAGCCCATTGAAGATAAACAACCATTCCAGGTGGGAGTGTCCGAGTTCCAAGTCACTCACTTAACGCTGCCAATGCCGGCTGGCGCCCACCGACATCCATTTATGCCAAATATTATGCAATCTGCACTTCTTGACCATTGGAAGTCCTTTCCCCTTGACAAGTACGATGGCACCACCGACCCCGATGAACACGTAGATGTGTTCTTAACTCAAGTTACCCTGAGCACAACCGATGATGCCGCCTTGTGCCGAATCTTCCCAACATCGTTAAAAGGGCGAGCGCTGAGCTGGTTTAATCGGCTTCCAGCTAACTCGATTGACTCGTTCAGCACGTTAGCTTCCTAGTTCACCATCCAATTCGCTACAATTCAGCCTCACCAGTTGACCTCGTTGGCGCTGGTCAGCATCCGTCAGGAGAAAAAAGAGTCCCTTCGGGCGTTCATAAGCTGATTCAACAAAGCGGCGCTTGAAATCCGAGACTTAAACCCTGCAGTGGCTCTACATCACCTTACCACCGCCTTGAAACCGAGGCCTTTTGCCAACAGCATTTGTAAGAAACCCCCTACCGACATGGATGACTTGCGTCGGCAAGCCGAAAAATACATGCAGATGGAAGAACTAGCCGAGTTCGGTAACCAGGCCCGAGCGGAGGTGTCGGCAAAGCCTGAAAAGCCGGCTGAAAACAATTTTTGAAGCCGTCCGAAAGAACTGGTACCCCGCGAGAGGCCCCCTCGTGGCCCGAAGTATTCCCATTATACACCACTCAACACCAGCAGGTCGGCAATACTAGAACAAGCACTCACTTTGGAAGTACTAGCCGTCCCAAAACGAGCGTCGACCCCTCCCCGGGCCGATACGACCAAGTCTTGCAGGTATCATCGCAATCGTGGGCATTCAACTGATGAATGTTCGGCCCTGAAAGATAAGATTGAAGACTTGATCAAGCAAGGACAGTTGCAAGGCTTCGTGGACCGACCAAACTCTTCGAAATACTCCGACCGGTCGCGACGGCAAGATCAGCCCGAACAAAGAAGGACAGAAGCACGCTCGTACAGAGAACGCAGTTGGTCAAGAGATCGAAGAGAGGAAGAACCTTCGGCACAGGCTCGGCGAGTCATCAACACGAGAGCAGGAGGATTCGCTGGCGAAGGTTCATCCTCATCAGCCCAACGCAGACACTTACGAGTTGTTTGACATGTGAATGCAGTGGAAACAGTTCATCGTCGCCTTCCCACCATCACTTTCACCGAGATGACTTCAAAGGCATCGACCCGGACCAAGATGATCCAATGGTAATCAGCGTCGAAATTCATAATTGCATTGTACGAAAGACGTTGGTTGATCAGGAAAGTTCGACCGACATTCTTTATTGGAACACGTTTAAACAGCTGGGTATTCCGGAGTCTGAGCTAGTTCCTTATGATGAACCTTTGGTCGGGTTCTCCGGTGAACGAGTCAAGACAAAAGGGTATATCAAGTTGTCAACTCAGTTCGGGTTCGAAGGAATTGAGTACCGAGACATTTCGGTTAAGTATGTGGTGGTGCATGCAAGCACATCTTATAACATTCTGCTCGGTCGACCATCCCTGAATCGGCTCGGCGCAATTGTCTCCACCCCTCATTTAGCCATGAAGTTTCCGGCCGAATCAGGGCGAATAGTCACTGTCCATGCTGACCAAAAAAATGCGCGAGAATGTTATTTTACCAGCTTGTGATTACCGAAAATGAAGAACGAAGCACCGAATGAACCGAGAAGGGTGCACTCGGTATCACAGCAATCGGCCATGGACCTGGATCCTCGGATCGATCAAGATGAGAGGGTAGAGCCCATTGAAGATAAACAACCATTCCAGGTGGGAGTGTCCGAATTCCAAGTCACTCACTTAGGAGCTAATTTGTCTGAAAAAGAACAGTTGGCTATTAAACAAGTAGTCCTCGAAAACAATGACTTGTTTGCTTGGCACCCGTCTGACATGCCCGGCATCGATCCCAATTTCCTTTGTCACAAACTCTCCATCAGCAAGGAGGCTAAGCCGATTGCTCAGCAGCGCCGAAAGACCGGGGAAGAAAGAAAAGCTGCAATTGAAGTAGAAGTGAGCAAGTTGTTAGACGCTCGGTTTATCCGAGAAGTGCACTACACGACCTGGTTGGCCAACGTCGTCATGGTCAGAAAATCGAATGGAAAGTGGCGCATGTGCACCGATTACACTAACTTGAATAAAGCCTGTCCCAAGGACGCCTACCCGCTACCAAACATCGATCGGCTCGTCGATGGGGCATCCGGCCACAAATTTTTGTCTTTCTTGGATGCATACTTTGGATACAATCAGATCCGGATGCACCCCCAAGATGAAGAAAAAACTGCCTTCATCACCGAAACAACCAACTACTGTTACCGAGTGATGTCGTTCGGCTTAAAGAATGCCGGTGCTACCTATCAGCGTTTGATGAACAAAATCTTTCACGATCAGATTGGCCAGAGCATGGAGGTGTATGTGGATGATATGGTAGTAAAGTCGGGTGATGTGTCGGCGCATGCACGCAACTTGACCGAGGTATTCCAGGCGCTTCGGCGACACCAAATGAGACTTAACCCTGAGAAATGCGTATTTGGAGTCTCGGGAGGCAAGTTTTTGGGGTTTATGTTGTCCAACCGGGGCATTGAGGCAAACCTAGACAAATGCCAGGCCATCCTGGACATGAAAAGCCCAGCCACATTAAAGGAGGTTCAGAAGTTAGCCGGACGGCTTACCTCGCTGTCCCGATTTCTCCCTTAGCCGAGATAGCTAAGCCGATTCTACTTCTGCTCAAGAAAACGGAACGATTCAAGTGGACCCAGGAGTGTGAAGAATCTTTTCAGCAGTTTAAAAAATGGCTTTGTACGCCTCCAATTTTGTCTAAACCAGTCAGTGGCCTAGCCATGGTTGTTTACTTGTTAGTTTCGAGTAGTGCAGTCAGTGCCGTCATAATACAAGAAAACCAGGAAGGTCA